GTTCATTCCGCTGTGGCGACCCTGGACTAAAACGGGACTAAGCCGACAAGAAAAAGAATGAATGAAAGTCTTGGATTTCGTTATAAAGGTCTTATTTTATTCATATATTTTTGCCTTTCCTAGGATTAACTTCAAACTGTAACAAAATTACCTGTTACTAGTGTAGGCATATTAAAAATTCAGCATAACGTTGAGTGCACCTCGCGCTTCACATCATAGCAGGAAGTGTGAAAGAGTGTGCATCCGTTACTATGATTACTAGGCAAGTGAAGTACAGAACAAGATAGTCACTAGCCTAGTTTGTCAGCAAAAATGGGAAAGTGTCGGTTTAATCCGCTTTGGCCAAGCAATCCAAATTACGTTTGGGTCAAGCCTGTGCCAGGAAATGACCGCAACGCCTACTGATGTTGGTGCTGGTGTGGTGGGAAATCTTTTAAAGCTAGCAACGCTGGGTGTTATGGCCCTGGACTCCTATATGAGGGCTGCCAAACACATCATGTGTAATAATGCTCGTCAATGCCCACCACCTATTGTCATGTTAGACGAGAGTCTCAATAAGATAACGAAAAGTAAGCACTTGGACCTTCATATTCGCTACTGGGTGGACAACCATGCTGTCGCGTATGTATTAAATATAACTGATAATTGATATAAAATGTTTAATTTAATTCAAGTAGCCCACTTGCACATAATTATTTTCTAGGGTTCAAACGTTATACAGATTTGACATTTTCCCCTCATACTTCTGTCAGAATGGATAAGCAGTTGACATTAAATTTTATTTGAAATGGTATTAAAAAGGTCTTTAAAAGTATTGAATTTCATTATCCCGGGGGTACCCTGAAAAACATCTGTAAATATTTTTTATGTATTTTACATATTTTTATTTTAAAAACTTTCACAAAAAAAAACTTACTTTGACCTAGCACAATTCATTCTATATACCATGTATGGGGGAAAAATAAAGAAAAAAAGCCCAATTAATTAATTGAGGAAGAAGAAAAGTGTATTCCATTAATGTAACTGAGATCTTGTTTAATTCTTGTGTTGAATTTGATAACTATTGTCTTCATTTTAAAGTCACTTTTGATAAAAGTGTTTGCAGTATAAGGTAGACCTGAATTCGGCACTATCATCCACTTGGACCATATTGGTCCTGGGACCCTGAATCATCTTACTGACTTTTTTATCTTCCTCAACAACAATCCCTTAGCAGTCAATCAGCATCTAGTTATCCCGTTCTAAAGTCATTTAATCGACCATCAACCCAAGTTCACAAGGTAATAGATGTTTATATCTACATCTATTGTTTTTCTTGATTTAAAATCAAGGATAAGTTAACACACATTTTCAATTCTTCCGAAATAAATAAAGACAATAGAGTGGCCTGATTCAGTGCTGGGGAAAGTTAATGCATTACAATATTGAGTTGCTCCCCAAAAAAGTAACCAGTTGTGTTACTTAGTTACTATTGATGGAGAGTAATATGTTATGGTACTTTTGAGTTACTTCTTGAGAACTTCCTGATGCTTCACATGCAAGCAGATTAATAAAAATTGAAAGCGATGTGTTTGCTACTTCTGTATTTGTGTCTTATTAGTTCAGTGAAATCAATCTCTATTGAAACCATCCCCTTTTCTTCCACGTGTTAAAAACAATGAGAATTCTTCCATCACAGAAATGTAAGGCTCTGCCATCTTGGTTTCTGTCTGTTTCTGTGGGGAGCTCATTCTCTCATTAAGTTTGATTTAGCATGATTACATTCATTTTAATTCAGCAAATTATTAGTAATTACTAGTTAGTAAAGTAACTCGTTACACTAAAAAAAGTAACTCAAATATCATTACTTAATCTTCTAAAGTTATCCATTACTTTACTCGTTATTTAGAAAAGTAATATTACGTAACTCACGTTACTTGTAATGCGTTACCCCCAACACTACATTTGAAGTCAGAATTATTCGCTCTCCTGAATTACTAGATCCCGTTTATTCCCCCAATTTCTGTTTAACGGAGAGAAGATTTTTTCAACACATTTCTAAACATAATAGTAATAATAACTCATTTAATAATTAACTAGGTTAATTAGGTTAACTAGGCAGGTTAAGGTAATTAGGCAAGTCATTGAATAACGATGGTTAGTTTTAGACCATTGGTCACCAAACTTGTTCCTGGAGGGCCGGTGTCCTGCAGATTTTAGCTCCAACCCTAATCAAACACACCTGAACAAGCTAATCAACCTCTTACTACGTAAACTTAAAACACCTAGGCATGTGTGTTAAGGGAAGTTGGAGCTAAACCCTGCAGGAACACCAGCCATGCAGGACCGAGATTGGTTCCCCTGTTAGACAATCGAACAAAATATAGCTTAAAGAGGCTTATATACCACCTCACATGATATCACTCAGGTCCTACTCTTAACATATAAATAAATCAAGCAAATTTTAGAATAAAGGCCCGCACTTAACACAAATTTAAAAATTTGTAAAAATTGGGCCCGAAAATGTAATACTTTGTCAGATGACGTTCATTACTACGTAATACTTTGTAAGGCCCTTAATTTAGGCTAATTTATTTCACTATCTTTTACAACCCTGCAGACACCCTTTGGTATAAAGTAGCTCTTCTGTGGTTATGATTTTACTCACAGACATCTGTGCTGTTCAGCCCCAACACAAAGTTTCAAAACTTGGTCACTTCTGGAAGAATGATTGGAGCTAAATGAAACTGCTATAAATATGTTTTGAAACATGAATTTTTGTTGAAACTGTCATGGAATTTTAACTAAAACATAAAGACAGTAGCTCACAGCTAATAGCATTTTATTTTATCACAACTCTGCTAGTGAGAGTGGTTGAACACAAGCCCAAGTAGACCATTTTGAGGCATGTAAACAAAAATACTAGTCCCCACATTTTTAATTTCTAGAGCTTCTGACAATCCAAAAAGGTCCACATATTGAGAAATAAGGCTGTAGCTGTTTTAACATTAAGTTATGATTGTGTCTTGTTACAGTATGAAATAGTTTGATAACAAGCAGGAAATGTTCATGGGCTAATTAGACATATGCTATAGGCCACATTGAAATGGACTACAGCAAATGAGTCTTAAAGGGGTGGGACATGACAGACACTTGAGAATACGATTTGATGAACAAACTAAAATATAAGGTGATGTCAAAAAATGTTGATTCATTTAGGTAGAAGCGACAGACTGCAGGCATGGAAGTTTATATCTTCTTAATGCAAAAATTTGTCAGTTTCGGACCACACTATCTTATAGATTTAGTCCTTAGAACTAACATATAAATACAAACATCTAAAAAAACTTTATTTTGATTACTATAATACTGAAAAATAAGCATGATGGTAGAGTCAATGTCCTTGCCATCCAGAATAAATGAAAACCTCCTATTGAGTAAAGGGAAGTGGAAACATTTCAGGTGAAGGATAATCCACTTACATCCAAGACAAGTGTTATGATCTTCACAGCATGGGTTTTATATACACATTGCTGCTAATTGGTCTAACATTTTTGACAAACCTACTAATCAAGAGACTAAATTAACGGTGAATGACTGGGTTTTTCTGCACAATGAGTTTCTGTGACAGTGTTACTCATGTTACTTACTGTAGTTGAGGTAATAGTTGCAATGATTGACATGATTTGTATTGTTTTTAATGTATTTCAGTGTTCCCTCTAGAATTTTTTTCCAGCTGTGGTGGCAGGGCTTTTTTTTTACACAGATCTACCAACTACCTGGCGTTATTTCAATGACAAATGTCGTAAGCGCATTTATGTAATACCCTACGAGCAAAATAAATCAGAATCAGTTTTATTGCCAAGTGTGCTTAACACACACAAGGAATCTGTTTTGGCTACAGAAGCTTCCAGTGTACATAAAGTGACAACACAAAATAAATATGAGGAAAAAAAGATGATACACATTGAACAGAGATGCAGTTAGTCAAGACAAGAAATCTGGATGTTGAATTGTATGTAGAGATTTGTTATAAATACACAGGTTATACCGTGCTGTGTACAAATGTGAATGTAGAAAGTATTGCATTGTATATTAATATAAGGTGCTTTGTACAAGTGCATGTGAGAAAGTATTGAACATATTTATTGCACAGTTGGGGGATATTTAACTGTGCAATAAATATGTGCAAAACTCTCTCATAAATGCTGCTGAAGTGCGATTTATTGCGTTTATGTAACAAGTATGTCTCCAATATTTATTAAATTTGCTAGGAAAATTTATGAATGTCTCCAATAGACCTACAGAGCCGTATTAATGCATCCTGAAGTAAAGTGAAACGGTAATACGTCGTGTTTGCTGGCCTCACACATCATGCATTTGTCAGTCAGCCAGTTAGTCAAAGAGGGCACGTAACCTTAAAGGGTTAAACAATTAACGCACAGCACTACTACGGTTACTGAAAAGTTTGCGCTGGTACAATTCACTTACCCCAAAAACGTTTTGGTGCGATTATCACCTGCTATTAAAAAACACGACTGAATGTTTTGAATTGAAAGCTTTAATGTAGCCGTGGCGAAATCAATTTTGGCCAGGCGCCCCGCCATGGAAGAATGAAAGTAGCGGAACCCATGTATTTATTTATGTAGAATTTAAATAGCAGACTAACAAATGTTGTTCATGGTGCTACACGCTATCTTTGCATTAAACCCATTGCCATGAGTAAGATGGTTTTAGAATGTAATATAATTAATCCAAATCTAAAATATAAAAGTTAATTAAAATATTTCAAGATAAAATCTTTACACTTTTAATTTTGCACACTTAAAATATCAATGCAGTTAGTTGCTGTTAATTTATCAAGTTTAGGGTGTTCTTATGTGAACCGTTTTGTAATACCAATGTTTATAATGTTGTAAATGCATTTAAAGACATCAATATTTGAGTACAATTTTTTTTAAACTTGCCTCCGTAAGTATATAGTAAGAGTATGCAGACATAAAGAAAGAGGAGACACCAACTGACTGAAGATGACAAGCTTTATTTCAGTTAGATTCAGAATCAGCATCTGCCTTGTCTTTGTCTTCATAATCAAATCTGTGATGGCACCTCACGTCCAGCAGCTCCAGTGATCCTCCTGTTTTCTGATGAGCTGCATCGCACTGGTGTCATTCAGAAATCCTCAACACACTTTCACTTTCAGTTTACCTCATCGGCTCCATTGACTTTCAGTGACCCTCACCAGTCCTTAGTTTCATTTGGTGATCCTCACCAACGTCTGTGCCTTCCGGTGACCCTCACCAGCCCCATTATTTACTGGTGACCCTCACCATCTCTCAGCCTCTCACTGGCTGTGGAGACTTCATTGAACATCACCAGCCCCAGAGGGTTCCACTTTGCACCTGCCATTGCGGGAGCCAAATTTTTGCCAAAAATGCAAAAATCGTCTTCTCAGACGCCCAAGTCGCCCAATTTTTGCTGGCTTTGAGCTTTAAAAAAACAAACACATCACAAACATGAATATGGATGACTAGCTTTCCACAATACATCAATATAAACCTATGTGTGTACATTTGTGGGCGTTTATATGAGCTATGTGAGCAGTATCATTCTGTAGTGTGTGTTTGTGTTCAGAATCTGTACCTAGTCTCTGCGAGAAGCACCTGCTGGACACACTTTTTAGGAGTGAAGTCCTCTTCTGCCTCAGACACAGCGTCTCCCTCCTCAAACACACAAAGTAAACCAAACCAAAAAAATGATCTATTATCGTTTTCATCAGGTTACCACCATTCTAATTCAATTTAAAAACTCATCACACACACAAATGGTATGATTTGAAACAAACACAAACTCATAAACTCACTGCTGTGTTGATGGCAGATGCCTGAGGGTAAATATTGGGCAGTAGATGTCTGAGGTTGTCCAGCATGTACTCTGTGAAGCTGATACACATCTCCTCTTCCTCAAGCTTTGTGGGGCCTTGAGGAACACTACACACACACACACACACACACACATAACAAAACCATATTACATTAATAAATGTACCAGACACCCATCTGTCTTTTATGACTGACAGCTCCATTTCACACAGACTTTAAGTTATGTCGAAACATACAGACACCATCAGCTAAATACAGAAATACAAACACTTACTGAAAGATGATCGGCCCAAATTCTATGGACAGGTTGGTGGTGGTCATGCGGTTGGCATGACTCGCAGCAGCCACTCGGGACAGGAAGAAAGTTAGAAGGCAGAGGATATTGTAATTTTCTTCTGGAATGGTATCCAGTATTTTCTTCACTGCCTTGTGACGTTTGCTAAGTCTGAACACTGCAAGAAAAAATATTTCCAGAGTTCAACAATTTGATAAATCTATTTAGATGTGGAGCAAGCTCACAAAACCTTCACTTACTCTTGAACACTTTCAGCAGTTCAATCATGAATGGCTCTGGAATGAGACCACCGGGAAGAGTCCTGAGGAAATGTTTCAAGACGTAAGCTGAGGAATGAACATCCTCAACGTTCATCTTTGGGAAGCCTCCGCGATCAAAACATTTCCTCAGTTCATACTGCCGCAATACTGTCCCACCAACCCTGAACAGGCCACAGGTACTGAGGCCTAAACACATATTTTACAAATACAGAGTCAGATACGTGACAAACACTCAGAAACACAGTCAAACACCAAGCTAGCACTCACCATGCTTCTCGAGGAAGCCCACCAGGTGTGTTAAGGCCAGAGGAAGCCCCTGTCTCATCAGTCCGGTCTTCCTCAGATGTGACAAGGGAACACCAAACACCTTACTCGGTGCTTCCTCCTGCACAAGAAAGAGGGTTAAGAATGAAAAAACGAGTAAGTGAGTGGACATACAGCTGTCTAATAAATGTGAATTATAAGTAACTATGAGTGTACCTTTAAACATGAAATGTATTACATTTCTCCACACACACACATTAAATTCTTTACTAACAGTAAGCATTTGTGAATTACTAGTATGCCTTATATTGTGTGAATATTTATACTTACACACACGGATAAAACTCCCATTATGGGGGTTTTGCCGAGATAAACCAAATCCAAGGGGTGTCCAAAGCCGTCAGTCGAAGTCAGAAGAAAAGGGTCGTTACCGGGAAATCCAAAACCGTGTCCGAATGAGTCAAAGTGAAATCGCAAATCCAAAGCCGTAGTCGAAGTCCGAAAAAAGTGTCAAAACCGTGAATCAATAACCGTAAATCAATCGAGAAATCGCAAAATGCACAACAACCACAAACCACAACCAACGCCAGAACACCCAACAAAGAATTCTAATAAAGTTCGTGCATATAAACCTGCCGCACGCAGCTCTCACGTCATTAGAACGCGTTCTATTTAGAATCCGAGGATTAGCTTCTCGAAAATGTCCACCTCAAAATCATTAATATGTGTATTAACATTAATAAACTGCACATACATGTATGATAAACTGAAGCGCGTTTTACAACGACGAAACGCGCTTTAACTCAAGATACATGCTATTTAATTTGTTCAGCCCTACAATTGTACTGTTTAATTGCATTAAACACAGCTTAGAAGGCTGAACAAATTATAAAACTAAACAGAATATAATAATTTAATATTATGTATATTTTTTCAATAATACTTTATATATAACGACATAATAATTAAATTTAAAAATATATTAACACCACGTTACCCGTTAAACACAAATGTGTTTTAGCACACTTTAAGGTAAATGGAATTTAGTGTCTTATCCGTAAGTATATTTTAGAAAAATATATAGGCCTATTTAAAAATAATTACAGTATATTTAAACTTTATTTTAAAAACCGCAAACAGCTTAAACACGCTACAGTTCAAAGTATTAAAATAAACAGAGTTTTGTAACAATATTTTAAAGTTGTAAAACATTTAAGTTAAGTTATAAATATTTAAATATTTTCAAGGTTAAGCCACTTCATTAAACTATTTTCAGATAGTGAAATACGATTAGACAAAAATGGTCCTGCCACGATCATCAAACCATATTGACAGTCGATTTTTGTGGACAGTATCCGAACATTAGTTTTGTCTTTAGTTATTATTTTATATCCATACAATTTTTAAAAAGTTAAAACTGTCAAGGCTAACGTTAACATAACGTTAGCCTTAGCCAACAACATTTATTAGCTAGCTTACAAAGCACATTGAACATTACCGATAATAGAGCGATCCATCAGATCCTGTAGGTCGATAATGTTGCGTTAAGAAATCATGTTGTCAGATCAAGTTATCAGAGTAGCACGGAACATTACCCGATTATAGCTCCAATGTCCTCACGAAACTCCCGCTCAGAATTAATCACACCTAATCTTAACGATACGCCCCGGGCCCCCGTGTGGCTACACTACAGTGCAATGCATTTTGGGTCCCATTGATTTCTATATGAATCATAAACTGATTATATATATATTACACTATAATAATCTTTAAGTGGTTACACTACAAATTAAGAAGAACATACGGACAATTTGTCTCGGGGCAGTTTGTTGATACCCTATCACTTAATAAAGGTAAAGTTGATTTTATATTCGGACATTCTCCTGAATAATATTATTTCATAAAAGTATTATTTGCAAACTAGCGAAATCATATTAGCAGCCAATGACTATCAAAGTACAACTTTGTTCACAGTCAAATAAAGTGTTAATGTTAAGTACACTTGCAGGTTATTTCAGACCGAAAATTCAAAGTGCCGTGGTAAACAATATACGGAGAGTGTCATAAGTTGTCACTGAATGAATGTGTGAATATAAGACCAACTTTACCTTAATAATTTACACTTTCACGTTTCATTTTTAGCATTCAGCCTCCACATAATTAACCATATCTGTTTTTGCTGAAATCATTGCTTCAACCAAAATCGAGTGATGTGCGATTCAGCATAGCATGAACTTACCTGATATGAAATGAGAACTGCAGTCCATTTCTAAATAGGTCACTTCATTCAGCTCCCTTTTAATCAGAGATGTCTGCGGTTAGCATTAAAACAGTGGTGTAAAATTTAAGTTTTCTATTTTTGAACTTTCGAATTTGGCGTCCTACTGCACAACACGACATGTTTGATATTACCACCGGTCTCTTACTCTTTTTTTTATTAACTTTTATTTAGAAAGAAATGTACAAAATAAATCAGAAAGTAATCTGTAGGAGACTGGAATACAAGTACATACAATTACAAGGTGATAGGAACAATTACAAAGTGACAAGAACAATAAGTAACAAATAAGAAATAGAAAGTAAAAAAGAGGAAAAAATAAAAAAAGGGGAAGTACAAAATTAAATAAAAAACAGAAAGCATTTAAGACTAACTTATGAAAGGTATATTTCCATATGTTTCTATTCACTTGCAGAATTTTTTTTTTTTGTTGTTGTTCGATAAACGTATAGCTTTAGGAATTAATTTTAATGAAAAAAAATAAGCAAATGGGAGAGAATTTAAGCCATTTTTGTTTGTGGATAAAGAATTTTTGCATATAATATAAAAAAGTTTCTATAATTTTTATATTATTGCATATAATATAAATAAGTATATATATTCTTCATTTTTATTATTGGGACTAGAATAATAACAAAAAATATTTTTAAATTTAAATATTTGTTTTGTTGTGATTTATTCAAATAATTATATCAAATCTGACAGAAAAAAACAAGAAATTGCAGTATCAGTAAATGTTGAGATAAATGCATTTTCCGAGTATATTTTGTGCAGAATTTTAAAATAGGTTGCCTTTGTTTGGGATTACATATTTATATGGGAGAGGCATGTTCTTTTCCAATCAATATGTACTATTAACGCTGACCAATATGATTTCCCTCTTGGAGCAATTAGATTTTTTTTTTATTGGAGAATTCGAAGAATAAGTTTGTTGTTGCATTTTTTAACATATACACTAATACCTTCTAATAATAAGGGGGGTTCTATGGTTCTTTTTTTATTTATGAAATATGAATTTTGGTAGATGTATTAATTCTTTTAAAAATAGCATTTACAACAACGTTAAATTTCTTAAATGGGATAGGAAATTTATGATTTTTCATAAATTGTTCATAAGTTTACAAGTTACCCAAGTCATCAAATAAGGAAAATAAATGGAACATAGCTGTCATAGAAATTAGAAAAAAATAATAATAAGGATTTTTTCTTATTACCACTTCTTGCAACCTTTGTGCCATGTGTCCAGTGTCCTGCAGATTTTAGCTATCTATATATATATATATATATATATATATACTCTTACAAAATCAATAACACAGTGATAGGAAATGTACTACACTTTATATATGCTCATTTATTAATAAAAATCAATTTACTGATCTACTTTATCTCAGTTCCGTGAAAATTACACCATGTACTTGACTGGGTGCTGACAGCCAGTGTAAAACATGATTTGCATACCAGGTCAAATTAATAAAAATTGATTATTTATGTACATTACTTCGAAGAAAATAATGAAAGGCTAGTGGTGATGATTTTATGGCTTTCTAGCTGGTTTTAGCAAGCAGCTAATTCTGTTAAAATAAATGTACTGCCCTAACCATTCTCTTACAAGCCTTTAAATATATGCAACATCAACATCAAAAATGTTTGTATTCCAACCTATATTAATATTGTACTACTAGCTTTTTCACCTTGTTACAAACTTGTCTAATTGAAGCAGAAAATATTGACATAAATGATGTTGTTCAATGTTTTTGCACAAAGCATGTCCACAGAACAAAGCTATTATTGGAGTTTGAACACATTTCCACACTTAGGTTTCTGCTACCAGTTCCACAATTCCAGGCAACAAAGAAATGACAGGACAACAACATTGATCAAATAATCTTTAACAAAAAACTACATTGGGAAAAATGTCAAATGTCTTGCATCTTATCTCCCCAATTAAATAGTACAATAAAATAACTCTCCCTAAATCAGGACCAGTTGTTGGTGCTTGACATATAAGGCATCCACATCAATATACTTTCATCATTTCTGAAGATACAAAAACTGCCATCGTGATTCTCAGATATTATTCTCATATATTATTTTCTCCAAAGCTGTATCAGACGAGCTCTTGATAGTGCAAACCTGCTCCCATTGCTTGGGCATTCAAATAAATAGTGTAACACGGAAGGCATTTTCTTTCCAATTCTAGTTCTACCTGAAACCTTCCCAACCGCATAAGATCAAAGTCAAAGAGAAGCAAACTAGAACTTTTTCCGCTTTTTCATTGCTAGTTTCCTTTTCATCTCCTCTTCTTCCAATCTCATTTCTTCTTCATCCTCCTTGATACCGAGGCGTAAACTGAAGCAGAAAAAAGCAGATGTTAAAGAACGTAACTTCAATTGGTCCTCTGCGTAATGGGAGAGAAGTGTTTTATTTCAGCATATGATCACAATCATTTTCTCTTCTTGGCATTCTTCCGCTGCATCTCTTCAAGCTCTCTTCTTTCCTCCTCCTCGTCCTCAAGCACTGCCATTCGCAGGCTAATCAGACAATCAGGGGTAAAAAAAAAAACAAACAAACAAACAAAAAAAGCACAAAACACACAAACAAACAAAAAAAAGGCAACAGTGCGATGATTTGGAGGAAATTAAGAACCAAATCAGAGCTGCTATTTTTTCATTTGAAGATCGCAGCTGAATTTACTGTCTTACCTCCTCGCTTCCTCTTTTTGCTGTTCTTTCCAGCTGCTCTCCATAAACTTCAATGCATAGTCACTTTCATCTTTATATCTGTTCAAATAAAAGACTGTTACAACAATGCACACAAATAATCCTTGTATTTTAATGTATGGTATGCAAAAACGCAGTCTCACAGCAATAGGTAACTTTTTAATTTACTGGTTGAAGCATATTCATTTGTACAATCTCATTTAATACAATTTGCTTAACCCCCAATGAGGAGTGGGGTGAGGGGTGTGCCCCCTTTTAAAAAGTCATACATTTTCAAAGGAATACATCTGTATGAATTTGCAACTTCCCTGACTGCGTAAAATAGTTGGGCTCCTAGTGAGATGGATATATCTATTATCTATCTATACACAGAAATGCTCAACAGAAATGACTGGTTGGCCGTGCAGGTCATCGGTTGACCATTCTTTACTGCATAGCTTCACAGCCATTAACAGCGCTCAAATGTTAGCGGGAAATGGACGTTTTAAAATGCTGGTCACACTAGGATTTGAGCACTGTGATTGGCTGTGAAGCTATGCAGTGAAGAATGGCGCTGCGAAAAGGGGCGGGATTAAAAAAGACGTTTAACATTTCTGTCCTGAGAGGTCATGCTTTGATCTTTGATTGGTCTCACGCAGTCACATGATGCGATTTCACAGGTCACCAAGCTTGAAATTTGCAATGCAGCGAACCGTGAAACTTGTCGCACAAGCTT